ACAATTCTTGTCCCAACATCCTCTCCACATAAAATAACTAACTTCCGGATTTTCTCAGGCCCTGGTTTTTCTTTACCTTTTCAGTTATTTGGGAGGCATTTGGGTGGGGTGGGGTCAAAGCATGTGGGTCAATCAGGCCGTGCCTCAGTCATCTGGCAGAGGTCAGTCCCAGCCCCCAGACCCTTTGCCAGCAGATGGAGGCCAAGGGCCCCCTGTCTGTGTACTCATCCAACACTTGTGTTATCAGGCAGAAGAGCTCAGAGGAGCTGCCAGGGAAGCCCCGCCTCTTGTCTCCACATTGGCTCCTAGCTACACACACTGGTGGAGTTCCTTTAGTGATGGCTTAGGATTCGGAAGACCCGGGTTCAAATCCCCACTTGGCCATGTGGTTTCCGGGGTGACCCTGGCCCAGTAAGCATCTCTCCCCCTAATCTCATCTCCCCGGGGTTGTCATGGGTGCAAACTGCAGGAGAAAGAAAACTACATACACTGGCCTCAGCTCCTGGGAGGGAAGAATTGGGTGGAGAGGCGAGAGCTGAGACTCAGACAACCGTTCACCCCTCTCTTGCAGTGTGTGGGTGGTGGTGGTTCCATTGTAATAATGTCCCCCCTTTTTTACCCCTCGATAGATCTGAAGAGGAATGATTACACCCCTGACAAAATCCTACTGCCTCAGGATGATTCCCCAGAACTGACCATTCAGCCCGGGAGCTGCACCAAAGAATCGAGCTCAGCGAGTGCGAGTCACGTGATGCTGTAGCAACACGCGCGGTTCTTTCGGCTTCAACCGAATGCTTGCAGAAGTCATCACTGGGTTCTCCTCCCCATCTTTTCCTGCACTGTTGTTTGGACGAATAAGTTCATTGAAGTGAAAACCACACAAACACGGAATGAAATTTTGTGATGGCTCCGGTACAGTGAACTGGCCCATACCTGGAAGAAGGGGTGGGGAGACACGGCCGAGATACAGGAAGCCACCTCTGGAGGGGTAGTTTGGTGATTTTTCTTTAAAAGGCTGGATGAAATTAAGTATTTATGAAATAGCTTTTTAAAGAAACATTTTAGCAGAAGGATAACTTGACAATTTTACCTTGGTCCTTGGAGGGGGGATCTTTTTTCCCCTCCCCTCCATTCTGTAGTGCAATATGCCCTTGACCAAATGATTATTTTTGTTTTGTTTTTGCATCTGATGGTTTTAAGGCAGATCAGCATGGTTTGGTGACAGCTGGTTTCTGTCATCTGGCAAGAACAACGGAAGAGAGATCCCTTCCTTTCGTTTCCTGCTCCACAGATACCGAAGGATTCTCTGACACTTCCGCAGGGCGCCTTCCAGATGTGATCTCTCTATTCGGTGCCATGTATGTTTTTTTTATGTGGTCCATAGGAACAAAGCTGCTCCTAAGGGAATCTGCCCACGCTCAGTGCCTGCTCAGTGAAGCTGCAGGGGCGGGAAGCACCAGTTCCCAGACATGAAGAGATAGAGAGCCTGTCTCCTGTATCAGGATTCAGCCTCAAAAGCATGGAGTCAGTTCCCATGGGGATGAATTGTGCTTCATGAAATCCCTTAGGGATATGTTTTTTTATTACAAAAATACATTTCAGTTTTATCAAGTCACTGTTGTGTAGTAGCAAAGCCTCAAGAGAAGACTGGGGGAGGGGGAATAATCACATTGTATAGAACAAAACCATAGAGGCTGGTCCAGAATACAGAGCGGGGGGGGGGGGGGGGGGGGAGAGACAGGTGTTAGGGAAGAGCTATTTCTTGTTACAATAGTGGCTGCTTCAGAAATTTTGCCTTCCAAAGATGTCCTAAAAACCAGTATATGAAAGCTGAATGTACACATGAACATTTGGGGGGGGGGTGTTTCCTTTGAAATGTTGCTTTTGCAGTGTGGGGGCTGCTGCTGAGTGGTTCCTTTCCCTGCCTCTCAGGTAATGTTAGGCCTCCCGCGGTTTGCAGAAAGAGTCCGTGCTGCATCGTGTCTCTTTGCTGTGGCGGCATTGCCGCAGCTCGCAGAAGGAACGGTGCTGGCGCAGATCCCTCCTGGGGGGCATCTCCTCGCGTGAACCTTTGGGGCACTGGGAAGGGCACAGAGGCACTCACTCCAACAAAAGTAATGTCCGAAGGGCCCCTTAGTTGTATTTAAGATTGTGTGAAAAACGCCTTTTAATGTAATGTTATGTATGGTACTTATTTAAAAAAAGAAAATAGGGATGGATTTACATTATGTCACATGCGGGAGATTGCAATGCAACTGTAAGCCAATAAAATGTAATTTACCTGTCCTGGATTTGTTGAATATTCAACAAGAAGAACCTGTTGTCCAACTGAAGTTTCATGCTGCGTTTTTGTTTTGTTACATAGGTACTAATTGTAATTTTTAATTGAAGGGCACCGTAAAGCTCAGTAATTTTTCTTATTCCGTAGTGTATCTCATAGATACAGACGATAAGGCACGAACACAATAGCTGTTTAAATGGTGGTTCATGTTGCTGGGGAAGGAATGGTATAGTGAATTAAAGATACAGAACTGTATACATTTTGTATATCAATAAATCTTTAAACAATCCCAAATAAATTTATTCTTGTTTAGACCGCTGAGCAACTTCCTTTATTTGATTTGGTTAATTTTTTAAAAGACGGTTGTGATGGTTGAAGAGCTCTTTGAATCCTGATGCTTGGTCTTATCAGCAGCCTATTAATACAGGTCACTGAAAGGAGTTCATTCTGAATTTTTTACTCATGTGTGGCTGTAGGATTATTATTGTTATTCAGATCGATTTTATTGCATACATCCAATAGCCATTACAAACAAGAAAGAACGTGAAATAACGGATAAACAAAACTATAAAACTGGATTGCTACCATACACTGTTAAAAGTTACATTTCCATAACAATTAAAATTTATTTAATAAAAGTGGTGCTTTGGATATTTGTCCAGCTGGCTATAGAAAGGAACAACATTTTGCCGGCCTGGTCTTCGGACCCCAACTTGGATCGAATTTCTGGGCAGCCAAGGCAAAAAAGGGCAACCTTGTAGGAGAGTACTGGTTCCTCATCAGAGAGGAGAAATAAAACTTTCTCCACCGTGGTGCTTGGGCCTAAACTAGCCAGAATAGTGTCTTAAGAATTTTTCCCTGGGAGAGGAATAAAGTGGGCAGGGGTGGCCAAACTGCTGCTTGGGAGCCACATGCGGCTCTTTCACACTATCTAACTTAATGTTAATAAAAAACCAAATTTGCATATTTTTCAATAAGAACGTGTGTGTAATATTTGTTCATGTCTTGCAGCTCTCAAAAATCTGACGTTTATTCTATGTGACTGTTAACGTTAAGCAAGTTTGGCCACCCCTGACATAGATGTTCTGATTCTAAAGCTCTGCAAATACACAGACGCTGATCAACTGGTTTATGTTTATAGCATCCTGCAAGCATGGTGGGTTGCATTGTTTGGAAATGAATAGATATGAAGACAGAGTGAAGTTTGTAAAAGGTAATCTTGGACAGATAGTGTGCCCTAGAACGATCCTTTTTAATTAAACCAGTGGGAGAATTTAGGATGTGAAATAACTTGCCTGTCAAAAGCAGTGTCATGCGCATATGTACCCAGCCCCAAAATTGGCCTGGGGGGGGGGACCACAAACAACATCTGACACTTTATACAGATGGAGAATTTTATTGTAATTGGTAGACCATGTAGGATCTAGGAGCACTCCTCAGTTTGTGCCAGTAATTAGGGCTATGTGCACATGAGCCTGAATGGATGGGAGGCCCAGTTCAGCTCTCAGCAGGGCAGCTGGAGAATTTGGGGTTACAGCTAAGATTTTTTTTCCTTAACAGCCATAGCATCATTCCAACCCTATAATCTTAACACCATAGAGGAGTTGGGCAATTACCTTGCTCTGGGAGAGTTTTATTGCAGGATCTCTCCGGAAGCCCCCTTTAGTGCAGTCTGTCACACTAGCATCTTCTCCAGATGAGGTGTTGAGTTCTGGAACTTCTTGGCCTTCTATCTTGTTCACAAAATCCCAACGACATTGCCTAGCAACATAGTAAAAGTCCATTTATGATGCCAGAAGAATCCATGTTGGAACACGGGGGAGAAGTGTGAAGAGCCCATCTGTTTGGGGTCATCTTGAGTAGGAACAAGATGAGGCAACGTGATTGCACCAGGAAGCAGACACAGCCAGCATCAGAATGAAGAGGCGGAGGTAAACCGGTGCCCCCAAAACCCCAGTTAAGACTTCACGTTGTCTCCTTGCAAGCCAGCAGATGGCTTCCAGGTCAATGAAGATGCCTGATGACTTCAATATATTTTATCTTCTGTGAGTTTGTTTTATTTAAAAAATTTAATTTGCTTTCCAGTGATTGGGATGAGGTGGTGAGACATATATGTTCTATTTCTTGTGAGAGAGCTAGTAGGAAAAGAGTAAAAAAAAATGTATTCTTAATAGGGAGATTTGCTTCTTTATTTGGTGGTGGAAAGTGCTGTCAAGTTGCCGCCAGCTTACGGACGCCTCACAGGGTTTTCAAGGCCCCGATATGAGGTGGGTTGCCCTTGCCTACCTCTTCATAGCAACCCTGGACTGTCACTGAGGGACTGTTCTCCAGGGCACTCAAGGAAGCGTTGGTCCGCCCTCTCCTGAAAAAACCATCCTTGGACCCAGCTGAATTGGCTAATTATTGGCCGGCTTCAAATTTGTTCTATTTGGGCAAATTACTTGAGAGAGCGGTGGCGATTCAGTTGCAGAGCTTTATGGATAACACTTCCATGCTAGACCCTTTCGAATCTGGCTTCCGTCCGGGCCATGGGACAGAGACAGCTCTGGTCGCCCTCACAGACGACCTCCAGAGGGATCTGGATCGGGGCGGCATGGCAGTACTGTTGTTGTTAGACCTGTTGGCAGCGTTCGACACGGTCGACCATCAGTTACTGATCCACCCGCCTTGCCGACACTGAGATCCAGGGGCTTGCCTTGCAATGGCTTGTCTCCTTCCTACAGGGTTGGGGACAGAGGGTGGTGCTTGGGGAGCAGACATCCCAGAGGCACCCGCTGGTGTGCGGGGTCCCCCAAGGGGCGGTGATATCCCCAATGTTATTTAACATCTACATGTGCCCCCTTGCCCAGATTGCCCGGAGTCATAGGCTAGGGTGTCACCAATACACAGATGATACCTAGCTATATCTGTTGTTGGGCGGTCAGTCCGACTTTACCCCAGATGACCTGAACCGGGCGCTTCAGGATGTGGTGCGCTGGCTTAGACTGAGCTGATTGAAATTGAATACGACGAAGATGGAGGTCCTGTGCCTGAGTCGGAGCGGGTCAGGGGTACGGATCCCATTACCGACCTTTGATGGGGCACCGTTAGTGCCAGCACCTAGGGTCAGGAGTTTGGGAGTGCTCCTGGATGCCGCCTTAACAATGGAGGCCCAGGTAGCAGCCACTGCCAAGGCAGCCTTTTACCATCTATGGCTGATCAGGCAGTTGGTTCCCTTCCTCGAACACAATGACCTGGCAATGGTGATCCATGCCATGGTTATCTTGAGATTGGACTACTGCAATGCTCTCTACATGGGGCTGCCCCTGTCCCAAATCTGGAAGCTGCAGCTGGTGCAAAATGCAGCAGCCAGGCTGTTGATGGGCCTCTTCATAGAAGAGCACATACGGCCTCTGCTGAAGGCATTGCACTGGCTGCCAATAGCATTCCGGATTCGCTTCAAGGTGCTGGTCTTGACCTTTAAAGCCCTATAAGGTCGGGGCCTGCCTACCTAAGGGACCGCCTTTCCCCATATATCCCCCAGAGAGCACTGAGGTCAGGGCTGCAAAATTGCCTGACTCTCCCTGGTCTGAAAGATGCCAGATTGGCCATCACCAGAGCTAGAGCCTTCTCAGTGGCGGCTCCACACTGGTGGAATGAGCTCCTGGAAGACATCGGGGTCCTGCGGGACCTCTGTTCCACAGGGCCTGTAAAACGGAGCTCTTCCACCAGGCCGTGCACCATGCATGCATTTGGTCCCAGTTGGTGGAGCTGGGAAAGACCTCCCCTGTCTGAGCCTTTGGAGAGTGCTGTCAC